TGACTCTGAGATGGTAGCAGTGTGACCTTCAACAAGCTAGTTAATCTTTCTAAGCCTCAGTTTCCTGATCTACAAGATGAGAGTCACGGACTAGATTATCTCAAAGGTCCTTTCCAGTGATTTAGTGAAGTCGAGTTAGAATGACAAAAAGCTACTAAAAGCTAATAGCAGCCTTAAGGGGGAAATGAAAACATTAACCCAAGTCAGAGGGTAGTGTGGGAGGAGGAAGGCTGTTTGCACTCACTTTGCCTGGAGGCTGGCAATACACTGATCCTATGAGATCATCTTGACCCAGCAGAAAGTGGACTGGTTCTAGAATCAAAGAACCTGAGTTCAAATCCCACATCTGACACTGCCAGTGTCATGTTGGGCAAACCAGTCAATGTCCTGGTTTCCTTCAGTTCCTCATCTGTAAAATAAGGGAGTAAGTATAGATAGTCCCTTCTATCTCTAAATCTATGTCCTATTATTGAATCCAACTCTCCCATTTTACAGATAAGGAAGTGGAGGCCCAGAAAAGTGATAGGATTTGACTGAACCAGGATTTGGCCACAGATGTGACTGGACTCCAAGTCCAGTGCTCCTTCTTAAAGCACAGATCTAACTACATCATTACTTTCCTCAAAAAGTTTCAGTGGCTCCCTATTGCCCTTAGCATAAAATGTCAGCTCCTCTGTGTAGCATTTAAAGTCCTTCCCAACCTGGCTCCAATCTCTTTCTGCATTAATTAGATATTCATCACCCTTAAGCATTCTATAGTCCAGCCAAGTCTGCTCTGTCTAGTTCTCTTTATTTATTCTATCTTCTGTCTCTGTACAGCAGATTGCCCGCCAGCCCTGGAAATGTTCTACCTCCTCACCTCCATCTCCCTTCAAGCTCAGATGTCATCTCCTACCGGAGGGCTTTCTCCCTGAGATCCTCAGTATCAGCGAAAGAGTGTTCCCTGACCCCAAATTTACTTTTATCTATTTTATATTTACTAATCGGTGTGCCTGTGGTTTTTCCCAAGAAAATATAAGTAACTCGAAGACTTGCTTTTTATGTAATGCCTAGCATACAGTAGGATAGCAGATATTTAATAGATGCATGTTCATAGGAACATTGGGCAGCAGCATGATGCATAGAATGCTGGGCCCAGAGTCAGGAAGACTTATTTTCCTGAGTTCAAATCAAGCTTCAGACACTTCCTAACTGTGTGACCCTGGGCAAGTCACTTGGCCCTGTTTGCCTCAGTTTCCTCATCTGTAAAATGAGCTGGCAAACCACCCCGATATCTTTGCCAAGAAAGCCTCAAATGAGGTCATGACTAAACAATAAAGCACATAGTAGGATAGTAAGTGTTTAATAAATGCTTGTTAGGAAAGGACCTTAGAGGTCCACCAAGTCTTAGCCTCCTCCTCATTTTAAAGATGAGAAAGCTGAGGCCTAGGGAGGTTAAGTGACTTACCTGAGGTTACACAGCTAGGAAGTATCTGAAGTGGGATTTGAGTCTTCCTGACTATAAGTCCAACGTTCTATCTCTGCCCCATCTATTGAATTTCTACTATGTCACATTGCCTAGACTAGGGAGACAGGTGAGTGTTTTTGTAAACAACAGTCCCTAAATAAACTCAAGAAGTTCCTATGTGTATATTTTCAATATTTTTTGCTTGAAAAAGATTAATGAGGTATTGATTAGAGAAATGTAAATCAAAACAACTCTGAGGTACCACATCAAACTTATCAGATTGGCCAACATGACAAAACAGGACAATGATAAACGTTGGAGAAGATATAGGAAAATTGGAACACTAATGCATTGTTGGTGGAGTTGTGAAATTATTCAACCATTTTGGAAAACAATTTGGAACTTTGCCCAAAGGGCTATCAAAATGTGTATACCCTTTGACCCAGTAATAGCACTTCTAGGGCTATATCCCAAAGAGATCATACAAATAGGAAAAGGACCCACATGTACAAAAATATTCATAGTAGCTCTTTTTGTGGTGGCAAAGAATTGGAAATTGAGAGGATGCCCATCAATTGGGGAATGGCTGAGCAATTTGTGGTATGTGAATGTAATGGAATACTATTGTGTTATAAGAAATGATGAGCAGGCAGACTTCAGAAAAACCTAGAAAGACTTGTATGGACCAATGCTAAGTGAAGTGAGCAGAATCAGGAGAAGGTTGTACACAATAACAGCCATGTTATGTGATGACTAATATTGATAAACTTAACCCTTCCCAGCAATACAAGGATCTAAGATATCTCCAGAGGGCTCGTGATGGAAAATGCTATCCTCATCCGAAGAAAGAACTATGAAAGTTGAATTGCTATTTTTTTCCTCTTCTGTTGAGTTTTTTTCCTCTTTCTGATGGTTCCTCCTATTAGTTTTAATTTTTACTTACAACACTACTAATGTGAAAATATGTTTAATAGGAATGTACATGTATAGCCTATATCAGATTGTGAGCCATCTTGGGGAGGGTGGTGGGGAAGAAGGGGGAGAAAAATTTTAAACTCAAAAGCATATGGAAGTGACTATTGATAAATCAAAATGAATTAATAAAATTTTAAAAATAAAAATATTAATGAGGTTTCTACTATTACTGAAGAAACATCAACACCAAAGGGAACTTCAGACAAGAGCCCATCCTCAACATGGAGGCACCTCTAGGGGGTTGGAATAGAGATGGGCAATCTATCACTTCCTGGCCCCTAGTGAATGAGGCCCCAGAGTCCAGTCCTCTGCATAGAAGACCATCAGTGAGTTCCCCAGATGTGCAGACAACAACATCTCTAGGGAGAGAAATGTCAGTGTTCTTAACTGAGGGAAAGTTATTTCCATCAAGCAACGGAAGGAAGCTAAAATGTAAAGGTGTCCTCAGTATTTCAGCTAGGCCTAAAGACCTGAATATTTTTATGGGACCCAGAGTTTTCTTAATGCACATTGTGGAAGGGTTGGGATTGCTTCTCCTGGCTGTTTTGTCTGACTGTTATTCTCCTCGGTGGAGGAGCCAAATGGAGCAATCACCACACAAAGAGCCCATTGAAGCTTCACCACAATAATTCTAAAGAAATCTCCAGAGCTAATGGTTTAACCAGGAGAAAAGGGAAAAAAACACACTGCTGCAAGAATGATAAAGTCAGTTTGGTCCTGCACCATGGTGCTCCCAGCCCATAGCACACCCTTAATAAATGTTAGCTGATTCAACTGAATATTACTAAGGGCTTAGAGGCAGTTGGGGCTATAGTCAGAAAGGAAAGAGGTAGGCCAGGGGTGGGGAACCTACAGCCTTAAGCCCATATGTGGCCTTCTAGGTCCTTAAGTGCGGCCTTTTGACTGGATCCAAATTTTAATTTGGATTTAATTTAATTTTAATTTGGATTTGGTCAAAAGGCCACGTTTAAGGACCTAGAAGGCCACATGTGGCCTTAAGGCTGTGGGTTCCCGACCCCTGAGATAGGCCAGGGACCAGAGAAACCTAAGTAACCTCACCGATAGAGCCAGTTCTGACGTTAACAGACTGAGCAGACACAACTCTAGACATGCTTCTTTTGTTGGCTGAGAATAGCATCCAAACACTAACAAGACAGAATGGTCTCTTTCATAGGAACCGCTGATGCCAATGTGAAGACAGACAGGAGATTTCCTCCTTTCCACCAAACACTTCCCACACCTTCCTGCCTGTGCCCCCTTGTGCATGCTGTTCTCTGCTCTCACCATTCTCTTATCATTAGCACTCACTGCTGCTTCCCACCTCCTCCTATTGGGATCCTCCTCGTCCTTTCAGGAGCAATGCCAATGCTTCTTCCTGTCTGAAACCTCCCCAGACTCCCATGTAGTCGTGAACTCTCCTTTCTTGATCTCATAGCATTTTATAATTATGCACTTATATGCTGTGGCATTCATTTGTGACAGTTCTCTGATGGAGTCTCAGTGGCAACAGAGTTTGTTGTTATTTAGTTGTTTTCAGTTGTATCTGACTCTTTGTGACCTCTTCTGGGTTTTTCTTAGCAAAGATACTGGAATGGTTTGCTATTTCCTTCTCCAGCTCATTTTACAGATGAGGAAACTGAGGCAAACAGGGTTAGGTGACTTGCCCAAGGTCACACAGCTAGTAAGTGTCTGAAGCCAGATTTGAACTCAGGAACATGAGTCCAGGCCTGGTGCTCTGTGCACTATGGCGCCACTTAGCTACCCTTTATTTATCTAATCCTCTATTTCTCTGTATACATGGAGGGTGGGAGGGGGAGTGGAGGAATTAGGGTGCTATTTAAATGTTTAACAACAAACTCTCCAAAAATATGTGTGCGTATGTATGCATGTATGTACACATGACAAACTCTTCAGTTTAATCTGCATTATTAACATTTTCTCTATCACTTTCTTAAGTCAAGACAACCAATGAATCAAGCCTGAGTTGTAGCATTTCCCAGTTTCGATGGTAGGCGTGTTCACATTGAAAATTTAACCATAAGGGCAGCTAGGTGGTGCAGTGGATAGAGCACTGGGCCTGAAGTCAGGAGGACCTGAGTTCAAATCCAGCCTCAGACCAAACACTTGACACTTACTAGCTGTGTGACCCTGGGCAAGTCACTTAACCCCAATTGCCTAAAAAGAAAAAAGAAAATTTAACTATAAGCTCAGCCCATATAAGCAAGCTCCAGCACTCCCTTGTATAATCTTCTAATGGACTATAAGTTCCTTAAAGACACGAACCACTTTCTTTACCTTTGTGCTCCACACAGTGATGTGCACATGGTAAGTGCTTCATACAGGTTTGTGGAAAGAATGAATGATGAATGAATGAATAAGTAAACGAATAAATGAATTTTTCCACAAGCTAATGCATTAAGTTGTCCATGCTTTGGGGATTCTTTATTATTATTCACTTTAAAAGGACAGAGCTCCTGCCTTCAACCCTGTCAGTTCTCCTTCTGCTCTGTTCCTGGCCCCCTCCCTCCCACATATGGAATTCATGACTCAGATTTCTAAGTTCAGCCCTTCAACTCACCATGGAGTTCATAGCAAAGTGATTGTGCTGAGTCTGTAGGTCCAAGGCATGTTGGTAGCTGACTCCAATCTCTGTGTGACTCTGGAGGAATAACTCTTTGTTATGGCTGATCCAGTCGAACATCTGCCAAGAACCAGAAAGAAGATAGGAACCATAAGGGTCAGAGGTCTATTAGGGCACCACTCCAGACTGTTAGGGTCCAAACGAAACCAGGGCCTGTAAGAGAAACCTGGGCACCAACCCCCTGTCTCAGCGCCAGGCCAGGCTGCAGTCCTGTTCCACAAAGAGTGTGAAGATTTTGTATGCTGTCTTCCATTAACTTGCAGATTGTATATTTAACATCTCAGTGCCCCAAACTTGCATCTCTTCATTCTTCTTCCATTATTATCATTAAAAGCCTAGGTTAAGAATTGGATTACAATCTTTAAAGTGCTTAATTTTTCTTTCCAAAAATCTACTCAATGATTATCTCATTTGTTCCTGAGAACTACCAGGGCTAATACTGAGGGTTGACAGCTAGAGAAAATGAGGCTCAAAAGATTTGTCTAAGATTATATAGATTTAGAGCAGGAAAGGCCCTTAGAGGTCATCTAGTCCAGTGGTGTCAAACTCAAATAGAAATAGGGGCCACCCAAAGAATTGGAAATTGAGAGGATGCCCATCAATTGGGGAGTGGCTGAACAAGTTGTGGTATATGAATGTAATGGAATACTATTGTGTTATAAGAAATGATGGGGGGGGGGCAGCTAGGTGGCACAGTGGATAGAGTACCAGCCCTGGACTCAGGAGGACCTGAGTTCAAATCTGGCCTCAGCTTACTAGCTGTGTGACCCTGGGAAAGTCACTTAACCCCCATTGCCTCACCAAAAAAGAAAAAGAGAAAAAAAAAAAGAAATGATGAGCAGGTAGACTTCAGAAAAACCTGGAAAGACTTGTATGGATTGATGCTGACTGAAGTGAGCAGAACCAGGAGAACGTTGTACACAGTAACAGCCCTGATGTGATATGACTAATATTAATAGACTTAACCTTTCTCAGCAATACAAGGATCTAAGACATCTCCAAAGGCCTCATGATGGAAAATGCTATCCACATCCAAAGAAAAAACTATGGAGTTTGAATGCAGACCTATCTGCTATTTCTTTCTTCTGTGGTATTTTATTTCCTCTTTCTGGTGGTTCCTCCTATTGGTTTTAATTCTTACAACATTACTAATGTGAAAATATGTTTAACAAGAATGCATATGTATAGTCTATATCAGATATCTTGGGGAGGGAGGTGGGGAGGGAGAAGGAGAAAAATTTAAAACTCAAAAGCTTATGGAAGTGATTATTGATAAATCAAAATAAATTAATTAATTTTAAAAAAGATATAAAACAAAACAAAACAAAAAAAGAAATAGAGGCCACCAAAGAGTACATGAGGATCTCTGCTGCCTCATATTGACTTAGAAAACATAGACAATATCAATACTATCTATGTTTTATTGTATTTATTTTATTAAATATTTCTCAATTACATTTTAATCTGGTCCAGGCAGCACTAGGGAGTGTGTTGTGGGCTGTGTGTTTGATACTGCTGATCTAGTCCAATCTTATCATTTTACAAAGGAGGCAAGTGGGCCCCAGATCACTAACTTGGCAACGTTACCCAGGTGGTAAGGAGCAGAGCTAAGATTCAAATCCAGAACTTCAAGCTGCAAACCCACCACTTTTTCCCCCACAGCTGGGACAGAGCCATTACTCAAACCCGAAGTCTCCTGCCTTCCACCCTCCTGCTCTTTCTAACAGGGTACTTTTGGTGTATCCAGAAAGGAAGTGGGGCAGCTAGATGGCAAAGTGGGTAGATGCCAGGCCTGGAGTCTTGTTTGGTGATTAGGTATTTAAAAGTCTTTGTTGACCAGGAAACTGATTTAGATGTGTGATGTCTGCTGTTTATTCCATATCCCATCCATTTCTGAGTGAGAGAGGACATCATAGGAAGGATTTACTGAAAAGAACCCTGTGGATCACTCAGTATGATCCTTTCCTTCTAAGGGGAAAGGGAAATGAGGCCCTCAGATGAAAAGGACATTTTCTGACAGCTAGAACTCCCTTTAAACACAAAACCTGTACTATGGTTAATGACTCCTGACTGACAGCTAGGACAAAGTTACACAATTGTCCATGCTTGCCAAAGTCAGAATTATACGAGACAGAATCCTCATTTGATCTTGAAGTATTATAATAGGCAGCCTGGAATAGGGGATAGACAAGTGGCCTTGGACTCAGGAAAATCTATCCTCAGATCCAACTGACCTCTGTTGACTCTGTGTGGTGGAAGGCAGATAGGAGGGGAGAGAGGAGGAGAGGGAGGAAGAAGGAAAGGGAATAAGCATTTATTAAATACTGATCATGTGCCAAAGAGCTGTTGAAACGTTTTACAAATATTATCTTACTTGACTCTCTTAACGACTCTAAAAGGTAGGTAGGTGCTACTATGACCCCCATCTTATACAGATGAGACAACTGAGGCAAACAGCAGTTAAGTGATTTGTTCAGGGACACACAGCAAGCGTCTGAGGCTGAATTTGAACTCAGGCCTTAACTCTAGGCCCAGTGCTCCGTGCACTGAGCCACCCAGATTACCCTGGGGAACCTTAACTTCTAATTGTTCCAGGCAATTTTTTAGGACTAAAAAGTTGAAGAGAAGGTGCTGGCCTGCATTAGTAGAGGTGGTTTTCTGACTTTGGCATTCCCTTTACAAATGAAATCAAGAGACGCCATCAAAAATGCATTTCTTTATAGCTCTTTTAGTGGTGGCAAAGGATTGGAAAGTGAGGGGATGCCCATCAATTGGGGAATGGCTGAACAAGTTGTGGTATATGAATGTCATGGAACACTAGTATTCTATAAGAAATGATGAGTTGGATGGTTTTGGAAAAACTTATATGAACTGATGCAAAATGAAGTGAGTAAAACCGGGAGATAATTGTACACAGTAACAGCAATATTGTATGATGATCAGCTGTGAATGACTTAGCTATTCTCAGCAATACAATGACTGAAGACAATTCCAAAGGACCTATGACGAAAAATGCTATCCATCTCCAGAGAGAGAACTGATGAACTTCGGGTGCAGATTGAAGCATACGTTTTCCACTTTCTTTCTTTGTCTTTGTGTGTGTGTGTGTGTGTGTGTGTGTGTGTGTGTCTGTGAGTTTTCTTTTGCAACATGTCCAATATGGAAAAATGTATTGCATAACTTGACATGTATAATTGATATCATATTGCTTGCCTCCTCAAAGGGTGGGAGAGAATTTTAAACTCAAAATTTTTTAAAATAAATGTTAAATTTTTGGTAATGTAATTGGGAAATATTTAACAAAATAAACAAAAATATCCTTAAAAAGAAAAATGCATTTTTAGGCCAAAACTTCTCCTTTTCTGTGTGTGTCATGGATCCCTTGGGCAGTCTGGTGAAGCCTATGGATCCCTTTTCTCAGAACAATGTTTTCAAATACATAAAATAAAACACTCAGGATTACAAAAGAACCCAATTCCACTGAAATACAGCTATAAATTTAAAAAAAAAGTTCAAGGACCCCAAGTTAAGAATCCCAGATTCTAATCTAACACCTCTCCTCTCACTGACAACTCCCAAACAGCTTATAGATCTTTGCCCAAGGTCAAACAGCTGATTTGTGATAGAGCTGGAATAGGAATCCAGATCACTGAATTCCCAATCCAGGGACTTTTTCACCAATGCTTGTTGTTTCCCCCATTCATGCTCTTAATCCATCCCCCTCCCCCACCCCTGCCCTGGCTGTTCAATATGTCTTCACCTAGCCTCTTTCTACACTGAAAGCACCTTGAACATTCACAGGAATCTGAGCAACCTGCAGGGAAGAAAAGTCTTTGCTACTGTCTCCAGGCCATAGTGTGGTACCCCTACACTCTCACTCTCTCAATTTCTCTCTCTCTCTCTCTCTCCCTCTCTCTCTCTCTCTCTCTCTCTCTCTCTCTCTCTCTCTCTCTCTCTCTCTCTCTCTCTCTCTCTCTCTCTCTCTCTCTCTCTCCCCCTCTGTTGACTTTCTTACATAGGAAATAGACAGTACCTTCTGTTTCATTATACAGAAACCCCTCTTCCCCCTCCCAAATACATGCTTTCCAGGATAACTCTATAGTAGAGAAGTGACCTTCTGTGTACTCTATGTTAAATGACTAATTAGATTTTGAAAAAAAAAAACAACTGGAGAGATGTGTTAATACTAGAATAATTAAACCCACTGGCACCAACTCCCAGCTAAAATACAGATCAAGAAGAGCAAAACCCAGGCTGGCACCAGAACCAGGCTGGCAAGTAGCAGGGAGTGGAATAATTCAATTCAGCAAATGATTGTCAAGCAACTACTGTATGCAAAGCCTTGAGCTAGGTCCTGGGCACTGTCCTAGAGCTGCAGTATGGCCAGAACCAATGTAATGAAAATGTAATTGGGAATTATTTAACAAAATAAATAAAAACAGAATAAAACCTTGATAAAGTTAGATTTTAAAACTACGTCAAGATGCCACCAGCAGGGATCCTTACCATACAGTTTAATGGGCCCCCAGTTTACTGAATGAGGGCTAGACTTCAAAGAGTTGAAATGAATAGAGGTATCCAGGTATCAGGTAAAGGCAACTTTTTCAAGAAGTTTAGAAGTGAAAGAAAGGAGAAAATGGGAACAGAAGCTAGATGGGAAAGAAAGATCAAGAGAAGGCTTTGTGTTAGTATAACAAGGGTGACTCTCTTGGGCTGGACAAGCACATCCTAAGTTCATGAGAATTTACACATGCCGTAACTCATTGCTAAAGTGAAGGACCTACAATTTGGGATGATGTGACCATCCCCTAATGGTCTCTGTTATGTGTAGTAGTTGGGGTTGTGTAGTAGAGGATTAGTGACTGAGCTGGCTTTAACAAGTTATAAAAGGAATGAGCTGAGATTCAACAGGTTGTTAAAGAATGAGGACAAATATCCTCTCACCTCTCTCTGTGTCCTTCCTCATTTGGAACAAAGGTCTTTCAGCAAGGGGGAAAAAGAGGAGATTTTTCTCCTCCATGCCCCAGCAACATGTACATAAATAGGCATATTCAAGATAC